CTTCAGAATATAGATATAAAGGTTCCGTTGATAGTCCCTAAAAATATAGGCGCCATGGCGATGCGGGCACGCGGAGATTTTAAAAGCGGCCGACGCGTGGAGATGTTGAAAGGGGCGCATCGTTCTCGATTGGGACGATGGGCCCTACGCAGGACCCTGAAGCCCGAAGCTTCCGTCCCCAGCAGGGAGCGCATCAGGTTCAGAACGACTTTCTGCGACCTCACGGCTCGATCCCGCTCTCCATGGCCGCTTATCTAGGCATGTCCTGCACGAAAGTCATGCAAGTCGTCCTGGAGGCCATCGTGCGACGAGAACATTCACTCTTTTTCGAGTCTCGAGACATTTTCATTTGGCCGCGGCATCCGACCCTTCAAGTGTCTGCACGCCTGAGGCTTGGCTCACGCGTCTACATTTGCGCGCCCTCGTGGCTGCTCAGCTTTCTTCCTTCTCAGGCTACAGTTCTATTCGCAAACAAGTCCCCAAAAATCTGAACAGAAACAACCATGGTACCTCTGCTTTCAGCTGATGGCCAGATGTTGGAGATCTCCGTACTCCAGCATTCGGTTATGACTTCTTTGCCACTGCCGCGCTGAATTTCCTCAGGGAACATTATGACCAACTGGAAGGGGTGTGAGTGTTCCCCCAACTAACCGTCAACCCCGAAACCCTAAACCCCAAACCCCAAACCCTCATAAACCCTAAAGCCCTAAACCCTAAATCCGCTCGAGCGAGGTCGACATTCCCAGGCGGTCGCTGTACTTCATGACGGGCGCCTCGCGCTCACAGTGGCAGCACGGCATCAAGAAGGCACCTTGTCGCTCACGCCTTCCCCTGGGTTTTGGAGTCCCCTTATAGTATGTTTTGATTGGGATGTTGGGAGGTCGAAGGCACCTTCGGGTACTATACTTTAATACTTTTTGTTGGGTTCTGGGTTCCTATTCTTGCCACTTCGACCTAAGAAGTATATATATTTTTCTAGGGTCTACTACCCGAAGGAAGCAGGGTTTCAGGACTGTAGGGTTTAGGGTTTAGGGTTTAGGGTTTAGGGTTTAGGACTTTAGGGTTTCGGGTTCCCAAGGTCTGGGGTGTTGGGTTGAGGGTCTGAAGCCTCACAAACTTCACGCCTCAAACAATCCTGAGGGTTAAGGGTTGGTAGTTTTTGGGGTTTGTAGGGCTTGCAGGGCTTTCCGCCCTGCATACAGAATTAGGAGGCAGTCCAAGAATTAGGTTTGAGGTTCTATTTTTAGGGTTTGGGTCTTCGTGTCCTGAATCCGAAAGGTGTCTGAGGGCGTTACAAAGGTTGACGTCCATGGTTTCTGCCTGAAAGGTTGCTAGCCTAAGCCCTAAACCCTGAATTCGAAACCCTAAACCTAAGCCTCAAGCCCCAAACCTTAGAGGCCCGAGTCCCTAAACCCTTGACCCTATTTTAAACCCTAAACCCTAAACCCCAAACCCCAAACCCTAAACCCTAAACCCTAAACCCTAAACCCCAAACCCTAAACCCTAAACCCTAAACCCTAAACCCTAAACCCAGCTCCAGGAGCACTGCCCCAAGGAGCGGCTCTCGCTGACCTTCCGGAGCATCCTGCGGACCGCTCCAAGGGCTGCGAGCAGCAAAGGCACCTGGGTTTAGGGTTTAGGGTTAGGGTTTAGGGTTTAGGTTTTAGGGTTTAGGGTTTAGGGTTCAGGGTATAGGGTTTAGGGTTTAGGGTTTAGGGCAAGTGGGGGTTTGTGGGTCAGCAGGGAGTTCAGGGAGTTCAGGGACCGAATCGCAAGAATATCCTTGGAGAATGAATATCCTTGGAGAAGAGCATGCGAGAACCATCCTGGTAGGGTTTAGGGAAGCGCAAGCATACCCTTGGCAGAAGCATACAAAAAGCCACGATGAAGCACGTAAAAGCAGTTTCAGAGCCCAGGTGTACTGATTTCCTGTGGATATTTCGCTTGAACTATGATGAAGACACAGCTCTCCGTTTCTTCACATAGGTAGGATGAAGAACGAAAGCTTCTTGCTGTGGTTTCAAAACAGGTGCAGAGATTTTTGTTTCCATTTCGGCATGAAAACAGGCGAAACACAATAACATGCACACAGCAATTTCAGAATGAACGTATCGGTTTTTTATTTTCGACTTGAAATGGAATTGTGAGCCTTTTGCATTCTACGTACGCACCTATACATTTACACATATTTGTTTCTACAACATCAACCCTATGTCCGAGGCCCTATACCTTAAACCAACCCAACCAAAACTTGGGCTGCAGTTTGCCGCTGTACCTGACACCCGACCCCAAACCCCAAACCCCAAACCCCAAACCCTAACCCCAAACCACAAACCCCAAACCCGAAACCCCAAACCCCAAACCCCAAACCCCAAACCCCAAACCCCAAACCCTAAGCCAAGGCTTCCAAGTTGCCGTCGAAAGCCCCCCAAACGGGAGCGCCAAGCTTCCTTTGCCAGGTCCAAAGAAGCGGCCGTCTGCGCAGCTGAGAGCCCCTTAGAGGGCTTACTGGCTCAAAACCCAACTTTTCAACTTTTGGGCTTCTTATAAGGCAGTTTATTCTGAAAGTTTAAACTTTTATTTCCTTGGGTTTTGGCTGAAGATGGAGGAAGGCCTACGGGCCGTTGTTTAGAGTTCAAGGGTTTCGCCTTCTTCCGAAGGCTGGTGGCGAGATTAGATGCGCCCGAAGTCAGATTAAGGTCTATACGGGTTTCCAGTTTTAGTTCGCAGGCTCGGCTGGGGTCGACCTCAAAAGAGGAAGGGTTTGAGGATATGGGGGTTGCCGAAAAATAGGGGTCCCTTTAAGGGGACCATGCAAGGTCTAGCCAGATGAGCCCGAGGCTTAACTACAATACAGAAGAAGGTTGACCGCAGACGTCAAATAGATTTAGGGTTTAGGGTTTAGGGTTTAGGGTTTAGGGTGTGGAGACTTGGAGGGCTCAGGTTTACCCAAAAGGCTTCTAGGTGGTACCCTTTTAGGATAGTATACTAGAATCCTCTATGACCCTCAAAAGGACCTACGTTGGAGCCTTCAGGTAGACAGGCTGAATAGACTTTGGGCCGCAACGTAGAGACTTAGCTTGAGCTGACGGCGTACTGCTCACGAAAAGACGCGCCCATGCCAGAGGCCGGACCACACTCGATGCTTTTTTCTCACATCCATATAAAGCATTCGAAGCATGTGATTCACTTACTCCTGTACGTATAGTACCTGAATGGTATTTCTTATGCCAATGTGCTATGTTAAAAGCTGTACCCAATAAAAGGCCGGATTCATGATCTTCGTCTTTCATGTCATTCTTTCTTACAAAGACGTCCAGCAGATTAACGGTTTTTATCTGTACTTTGGGTTTCTTTGCGCTTTTTCCTGTATTTGGATAGGTGGTCAATGTCCTGCAAACAATTTTCTAGCTTGTAGTCGTATCTCGACATTACATTCTTGTCTGTGTATTCTCGGGTGTCTTATTCTAGCATTGTTAGGGGAGAGGAAGACCAGAAGTCTCATGTTCCCTGGTGATGAACCCTAAGGCTCAAAATTGCCCAAAGACCTTACATAGTAAGAAGGTGTTTGGGACCAAAAAACCCTTAAATATGAGTCCTTAGAGCCTTAGGGTAAACCCGAGACCCTAAACCCTAAACCCTAAACCCTAAACCCTAAACCCTAAACCCTAAACCCTAAAATGCCTTGAAGCCCTCCAAGAGCTGAGCAAAAGAACCCGCAGGTGCGCGCCCGGAGCTGCCGCGAGGTGCTGAAGCAGCGCCTGGAAGCCTCCCGCAGAGCTCCCCAGAGGTTTAGGGTTTAGGGTTTAGGCTTTTGGGGTTTTTGAGGTTTTTGAGGTTTATAGGGTTTTTGGTTCAGGTTCAGGTTTAGGGTTTAGGGTTTAGGCTTTTCGGGTTTTTTTTAAGGTTTTTGATTTTTTTAGGGTTTTTGGTTCAGGTTTAGGGTTTAGGGTTTGTGTTTAGGGGCCTAAGGGGTTTTAGGGCTTTTGGGGGTTTTAGGGTCTTAGGGGCTTTGGGCCATGAAGGTCCTAAGGGAGGCCCGAATGCATGGCACCATTGAGCACCTAAACCCTAAACCCTAAACCCTAAACCCTAATCCCTAAACCCTAAACCCTAAACTCTAAGCTCAAGTTTGCAGACCCTCCAAAACCCTGAGCCCAGGAACGGCTTGGACAAAGCACAACTGTAGCCCCATTTTTGCACCAGGGCCAGACAAGAGGCAGAGTGTAGGGCTTAGGGCTTAGGGTGAAGGGTTTAGGGTTCAGGGTTTTCTTAGTAGCTGAGTGAGCACACTTTACACTTTTTGGGTACTATAATCCCCTAGAGAACTGAAAGTGTACACTTTTGGGGGGCTTATGAACTCAGCAACTAAGTTTAGGGTTTTGGATTGATGCCATGTACCTCCGTGTGGACGGTGAAGGCTACAATTGCAACTTGTCTTGCTTGATGCGCTACGAGGTTCTGGAGCCAAACCACCACCGGAATCTTTTGATCGATGCCATCCGCTTACCCTAAACCCTAAACCCTAAACCCTAAACCCTAACCCCTAACCCCTAAACCCTAAACCCTAAACCCTAAACCCTAAACCCTAAACCCTAAACCCTAAACCCTAAACCCTAATCCCCTCTGCTTAGGACTGTGCAGCTGGGACTTGGGCTTACAGTCTGCGACCCTAAACCCTAAACCCTACACCCTAAACCCTGAACCCCGATCCCCTGAACCCTGAGCCCTAAACCCTAAACCCTAAACCCCAAACCCTAAACCCTAAACCCCAAACCCTAAACCCTTAAACCCTATAGACCCTCAACTCTGAAGCTTCTGGTATAGCAAGGTATATTAGGCTGCGGGCTTTTGCCGCAATTTTGGAGCCTCCAAAAAGACGAGCGCTCTCCCTTTCACACCCCAAAGGTAGGAGAAGCACTGGTCAGGAAGCCCAAGCAAGGGACCCCGGACTTTTCGGAACCCCCGAAAACCTTCCTTGGGGTTCAGCGATTATAGGGTTTAGGGTTTAGGGTTTGGGGTTTAGGGTTTAGGGTTTGTGGTTTAGGGTTTAGGGTTTGGGGCTACAGACCACAGCATGTTCGCCCAAGGGGTCGACTGCCAGTGGCCGGGGGAAGGCGTGGCTGTGGTGCTGTGGGATCGGGTTCTTGAGGGGGGGGAGGTCCAAGGGGGTCTAAGGGGGTAGGGTTTAGGGTTTAGGGTTTAGGGTTTAGGGTTTAGGGTTTAGGGTTTAGGGTTTAAGATTCCCTAGTACTCCTTCCCACCACTCGGTAAGGCTCCCTAAGCTTCCCTAAGGGTTCCTTAGGTATCTGCCCCCCTTGAACCCCCCCCTCCCTTCAGAATCCCTATAAGCTTAGAAAATCCCTTACGTTCTCTAAGGGGCTTCTGATGTATGGGCATTTGGGTTTGACAAAGTATATACTGGGTATAAAGGGGGTCCCCCTTTAACTTAAGGGCCCATATGAAGGGACAAACTGCCCTAAGAGCTCAACAGCCTGAAGCCTAAACCCTGCATCTGAAACCCTGACGCCTGAAGCCTCGACCCTCCACCGGGTGCATGGCAAGATGCCGGGGAGGAAGTTGGAGGTTTAGGGTTTAGGGTTTAAGGTTTAGGGTTTAGGGTTTAGCGATTAGGGATTAGGGTTTAGGGTTCTGCCCCCCCCCCCCCCCCCCCCCCCCATCTGTAAATGTTTATGCCAAGCTCGCGCCCTCAGCACATGGATGCTCAGATCCTCGAACTCTTACAAGCTCGAGGCCCCGAGCCAAGGAACCGACGGGCCCCAAAAAGCCAAGATCCGAAATCACTGAAGTCTATCCCAAATCCCTCCACACCAAGAGACGAAACAACGAAACCCAAACCCCAAACCCCAAACCCCCAACCCTCAACCCCAAACCCCAAACCCTGCTAAACCCCAAACCTACGGAGGTGGATCGTCGTCCTCGTCCGCGCCCGCAAAGAGCGGGCCCAGTTCGATGACACAGGACCCCCGGCTGTTGCGGTTTAGGGTTTAGGGTTTAGGGTTTAGGGTTTAGGGTTTAGGGTTTAGGGTTTAGGGTTTAGGGTTTAGGGTTTAGGGTTTAGGGTTTAGGGTCTTAAGGGCTTAAGTTTGAGTATAAGAGGTTAGGGTTTATTCCGAGCACCTGTTTAATTGGGGCCCCCCCCCCCACCGCAATAACGAAGGCAGGGCTCCACAATAATTGGACCATGGCCCTGCATTGATTCTCTATTCAAAACAATAGGCTGCTTTAGGGTTTAGGGTTTAGGGTTTAGGGTTAGGGTTCCTGAGGTGCTGTAGCTTCGCATCTCCGCAAGCGCAAAACAGGAAGCCTGCCGACAGATTTTTTGAACTCCCCCAAAAAAAATTTCTTTAAATGTGGGGGGTTATCCCCATACGAAATCCACCCTAATGGAAAGTAGTCTTCCGGCGGGCTTCCGGCCGGAAAAAGTTTCTTTAACTGTGGGGGGTTTGATGAAACAGGTGCTCGGATTAGGGTGTAGGGTTTAGGTGTTGAGAGCTCAAGGTCAAGGTTTCGGGTTCACAGGGAAAGGGGTTTAGGGTGTATAGGTCTTGATAGCAATCAACAGGTCCATGTCTCTCTTCTCTTGGAACTTATTGCCGGCGTGATGAGCGCCTTGCCTACCTACTATCGCTTTTACAAGCAAACTCCTTTGATGCAGCAAGCAACTAGAATGAGGCCAGACCCTTTTAAGCTCCAAAGGCCCCCATGATGCACCTGCCCCACCCCCCCCCCACCACCCTCCCCCTGATGTACCCCCTACCCGAACACACACTCACGACCACCCTCCAGCGCTTGAAGCTGAAGCCCCACATCGTGCACCAATTGAACCCCATAACAAGGTGAAGCCGTAAAGCCGCGAGCTCGAGACCCGTAGCCCGAACCACATGTTCTCGACCTTTTGGGGTACCCTAAATAATATTGAGGGGCCATCTCGTAGCAGGAACCCCCCGAAAGGGACCCGAATTAGGGACATGAGCACATGTTGGAGACATTGGGGTTTGAGAACCCTCGAGGCGGTCGAATATGGAAAGCGCTTCACCTCAAAGATAGGTTTGGACTTCGCAGGTAGGGTTCATGGTTTGGGGTGTCGGGTTTTGGGTTTGGGGTGGAGCAGAGACCCTGAAACAACCAACCCCCCCCCCCCCCTCGCCAGTGGTACTCGTTTCGCATTGCATTCTTTTGTTGTTCAAAGGTTTGGACCATGTGCAGTGTAAAGGTGAATCAAGGAAGCTCCCACGTTACTGGGGAACAACCCTTACACCCTAAGCCCTAAAACCTAAGCCCTAAACCCTAAATGAAAAGCCCTGAAGCCTCAGGAAACAACTGCTGGGCACACACTGGCAGGACCGGGGGGGGGGGGTTAGGGTTTAGGGTTTAGGGTGGAGGTTTAGGGTCTGGGGTTTGGTGTTTAGGGTTTAGGCTTTCGGGTCTTGTTTGGTTTCAGGTGTGCCTCCAGCTTTTCGCAAGCAGCAGCAGGAT